CTGGCTGTACATGGTGGCTCATGCCTGTAATCCCACCTCTTTGAGAGGCTGAGGTGGGAGGATTGCTTGAGCTCAGGAGTTGAAGACCAGCCTGGGCAACATGGTGAAACCTAGTCTCTACAAACAATAAAAAAAATTAGTTAGGTGTGGTGGCTCACACCTGAGGTCCCAATGACTGGGGAGGCTGAGGCAGGAGGATCACTTGATCTCACAGGCCTCAGTGAGTTGAGATCATGCCACTGCAGTTCAGCCTGGGCATCAGAGAAAGACCCTGTCTCAATTTTTTAAAAAAGAAAAAGAAAATAACTCCAAATATGAATTGTTGGAACTTTAAAATATTCTCAGCCTTAAAGGAATGTGATTGTAGCACCTGAATCAAAAACAAAACAAAACAAAACAAAAAACAGGCAGTTACAACCTAGGCAGCTGTAGCCTTTGTTTCTCTGATATAGATTAGCCTTATTCTTTACCTACATTGTTTTGTAAAATGTTGTAAATAACAGAACGACTCTCGGGAAGCCTCTTTGTTTGTTTGTTTGAGACAGGGTCTCGCTCTGTCACCCAGGCTGGAGTTTTGTGGCACGATCTCTTCTCATTGCAACCTCCAATTCCCAGAGTTGTCCCTCTACCTTCCTACCCCAACCCTTCTTCATGGAGCTCACCTGGGCCTTGCCCCTCCTCAGCCCCACATTTCTACTGAGTATAAAGAGATACCCCCTTTATTTGTCTGACTTTGGAATCTTCACCTCTGGGCCATAGCCATCCTGGGCTCTACCCCCTTTTGTACACAAAGCCTTCATCTTCTTAGGAAAATGACCAGGTTCTGCCCATAAAAGTATCCTACCCGAAAGGGAGGTGGAGAGAGAGTGTCTCATGGAAAATCACAGAAACACATTTCTTTGCATTTGAATGCTTCCAGGACCTCACTTTGGCAGCAAACCTACTCTGGGTTAGACCCCAGCATCATTAGCCTTTTTGTGCCATGAACTTCTTTGGTATCTGAGGAAGCCTATGGACTGCTCGGAATAGATTTTTTTTTTTTAAGTGTACAAAATACAGAGAGCAATGGAAATAAATTATATCAAAATAAAGTTTATGAAAATATTTGTGATATTACATGATATGCTTTATTGGCACATTAAAGAACAAGATCCAAAGTTGGGTCTAATTACTATAATTTTGAGGTAATGATGAGCAAAAATGCTATCTCAAGATGTCTGTAACAGCTGCAGTGTAATATGAGAATATCTGTGATTTCTGTTGGTAACAAAGTAACAGGTGCTGCTAACACTAATGGGGTTTGTTCCTAGCAACATTCACCATGGAAGGAAAAGCTAAATTTCAATTAAAGTTCAGAAAAAATCAAATGCAATCGCCCTCCTCCCATCTTTCTCATTTAAAAAAAATTTTTATTTATTTTTAGGCAGGCTCTTGCTCTGTTGCCCAGGCTGGAGCGCAGTGGCACAATCATGGCTCACTGCAGCCTCAACCTCCTGGGCTCAAGCAATCCTCCCACCTCAGCCTTCTAAATAGCTGGAACCCCAGGTGTGCACCACCACACCTGGCTAATTTTTTAAGATTTATTAATTTTTTTTTAATTTTGAGACAGAGTTTCACCCTTGTCGCCCAGGCTGGAGTGCAATGGCACGATCTCGGCTCACTGCAACCTCTGCCTCCCAGGTTCAAGTGATTATCCTGCCTCAGCTTCCCAAGTAGCTGGGATTACAGGCATGTGCCACCGTGCCCAGCTAATTTTTGTGTTTTTAGTAGAGACGGAGTTTCACCATGTTGCCCAGGCTGGTCTTGAACTCCTGACCTCAGGTGATCCACCCGCCTAAGCCTCCCGAAGTGTTGGAATTGCAGGCGTGAGCCACCGAGCCGGGTCTTTTTTCTTCTCTTGCCTCCCTCCTGGGTACCGTCATACCTGCTAGTGTAGGGTCTTGCCTCCCTCCCAGGTACCTTCATACCTCCTAGCGTGTGACTGACGGCAGTGTCCCTGGCCCCAGCTGAAGGACCATAGCCAGCCAGTGGGCTCAGGCACCTTGGCCTGTTGCTCTTAGGGGTCGCCTATGCTATTTAGCCAAGGGGACGACAGTGCCTACTGGTCTGGCTGAGCTCTAGCCAGGCTTCCCCTGCTGCTCTCGCTCTTCTTTTTCCAGCAGGAAGGGCCCAGCCTCACCTATGCGACTTGTAGCCCCCCAACCAGCTGAGGCTCCCCTCTTAGACTTGTAAATCTATGGCCACTGGCATCCGGCTGCCTGCCCTCCCCACTTCCCCCAGGGTCCCTTCACAGGGTCCTGGGCTTTCTGACCGCCTAGAGGGGACTCGGGCACTCCCTCCAGCCATGCATCCCTTTTAGCTTCATCCTCCTGGTTCAAGCAATGTTCTTTGTCAGGCCTGCTGGCTGTTGTGTAGGGCTCCCCAAAGCCAGGAGTGGCCCTGGGCCAGTGTGTTGAAAGACAGGGTGACAAGTGGGAAGCCTGAGGGGGCTGAGTATCAGTTTGAACTGTGGGTGCATTAGCCTAGGTGCCGTGTGAGAGGCCAGCATGTGTGGGTGGGGAGGGCTGCCGCAGCCGCCAAGCATTACCTGTGAAGCTGCGGCTCCTCCCTCTATCTTCCTCCCCTTTCCCTTCTAGCCCCTCTTTTCCAGGAATCTTGCCACATCAGCACTTGTGTCCTCCCCTCCCTGGCCCTCCCACCACTGCTGCAGCACGCTGCGCTTGCCTTACCAACTCTCGCCTCGCTTTTCTCTCTTCCGTTTACTCTCTCTCTCCAACTGCCAGCCAATGGGGTCAGGTAAGTCCATCCCACCCTGAGAGCCCCAGGGCCCTCTTCCACCTCTAAACAGATCCCTCCTCTTCTCTGAGACCTTCCTTTCCAAGACTGCCTGGACGACTGATCTGTGACTTGACAGTGGCTCCCCTAGTCCCAAAACCAGCCCCCTTCATCTGTAGTGGTGAGTTGACACATCCAGGCATGACTGTTGGGGAAAACTTGTGCCCCCTCTGTCATATGCCCCTGCCCTGTTCTCTGAATACTCATATATATGTATACACCCCTACACGTGGCTGACTGCCTCGCCTCTAGCGCTGGGAATCAGTCACTGTACTGTCCTTGTGGAGTCTTGTGGTCCAACTACAAGAGAACACTGTCCCCCAACAATCACCATCCAAAATCCACCACCTCCAGTGAGCCTCCCTGTCATGCCTGGCCTGTGGACAGCCAGCCCCCACCATCCCTCCTGCCCCCCGACAAGCATGGGGGTGCTGTGCAGACAGCTGTGTGGCCTGACAGTCTCTACCAGTCCTGCTGTCCCTTGGCTGGGAATAAAACCCATTGCTAGGTGACGGAGAATGTGTCCTCTGTTGGTTGTGTTCTCTGTGGAGCTCAGGGGAGGGAAGGGCCAACCCACTACGAGGGTGCTATTGGGAGCGGTGAAAAGACCACATCCTTTCCAAGGGACACATGTCCTGGAAAGCCTCTGGAGCTTAGCAGGCTCTCATCCTGTGAAGCCGGCTCTGGCCACTAGGGGGCAGAGCCATGAACTCAGATTGGAGGGCGCCTGCAGGGCAGCTGGCAACCTGGAGAGACACTACGGGTCATCCAGGCACAGACAGGCGAGGGAGCCAGGGGAACAAAATGGAAGACACCTGGGCTAGATGGAAGTCAGTGCCCTTGGATGCTGGCACCTGCCTTCCCTGCCACTGCTAAATCAGGCTTCTGAGGCTGTTGGCCGTCAGGGCCCCACGGTCCCCCATACTATGGCAGTCCCTGTGGAATTCCCCAGGTGTTACCAGGCAGCATACAGGTAACAGGCCTGGAAAGTCCCCAGTACCCCAGCTGGACATGCTCAGACACTTTGGGGCTCCCCGTTCTGTGGCACAAATTTCATGACCCAGTGAGGGAAACAGGAATACACCAGGTCAAGCAGTATGTGGCTAAATACATTCCAAAATAAAAAGCAAAATAAACAGGAGTCACATCACCACGGTGCCGCAACCCCATCTGTCTCCTTCCCCTATGCTATCAATAAATAAGTTTTCCAGCCCCAAATAACTATTAGAACCTCCTCCCCATATGCTAGCCCCAACCTCTGCTATGTATGATACAGGAGGTGGCCCTATCACTGGAATATACAAAATGTTACACAGCTACAGTATGTACACTGAGGAAGGGGGGCCACCCCAGAGCCTGTGCCCTCACCTGGTCTTCATTAAGTCCCATTGTCCTGCCTCAGCTGCCTTTCTGAGTAAGAAGATGGGAGCCCCCCTAAGGAAAAATTTCCTTTGGTGAGAGTTAAGGAGGCCATCAGGCCTCCTCCAAACAAGCCAATTCTATGAGCCTGACTCTGAAAACAATAATCATCCAGAAATTTAAGGAGTCTGCTCTGGCCAAGGAGGGAAAGGGTCTGCATGTTTGCCTCCCCTTGATTAGACACGGGTCTTACTTTGCTACTGTAAGGGTACAGGGGTGACTGGGAATGGGTGGCTGGGACATGATGGGGACGGAGCCTCTGGCCCCATACTTCTCCAGGCTTTGCTGACAGTGGCCTGGTTTTTTTTTTGTTTTTTTTTTAAAACATTTTTATCCTTTTTTATGCCCTTTTTCATACCTTTTTTTTTTTTTTGAGATGGAGTTTCACTCTTGTTGACCAGGCTGGAGTGCAACAGCACAATCTTGGCTCACTGCAACCTCCACCTCCCTGGTTCAAGCGATTCTCCTGCCTCAGCCTCCCCAGTAGCTGGGATTACAGGCATGCACCAACACGTCCGGCTAATTTTGTATTTTTAGTAGAGACAGGGTGTCTCCATGTTGGTCAGACTGGTCTCGAACTCCCCGACCTCAAGTGATCCGCCCATCTCAGCCTCCAAAAGTGCTGGGATTACAGGCATGAGCCACCGTGTCCGGCTTCATAACTTTTCATAACTTTCATAACTTTTATCCCATAACATTTTAAATCCCATAACTTCTTTAATCCCATACATGTTTTAAAAATCCCATACCTTTTTAAAATTTATTTTATTTAGTGGCCTTTTAGATTATGGTGATCTTCACCTCATCTCCACCCGTCTCTCCACATTAGACAGGGGTCTTATGCTTGCTACTGTAAGGGTAAAGGGTTGACTGGGAAGGGGTGGTAGGGACACAGTAGAGGCAGAGCCTCCAGCCCCACTTCTCCAGATTTTGCTGACAGTGGCCGGCTTTTAGATGATGGTGATCTTCACCTCATCGTTCTTGGCAGTCTGGTACAAAAAAGGAATGCAAGGGCTGCTGCCCAAGCTTGGGTGCTCCTGGAGGTTCTGCATCTCCATAAAGCAGCGGTATGATCTGCTGCGCAGTGGGGTTACCGCAGGGAGAACCCTTCCCTGCCTCTCCTTGCACAGGCTCCCCGCTGCTGGCAAGGCTCACCTCGCAAAGATCTTTGGAGAGAGGGAGGCAGGGCGCTGTGCGAGCCCTCCTGTGTGCCCACCCTGCCTGAGGGCTCTACTCACTACCCTGCTTGTCAGCAGCCCCAAGCTGCTGGGGGGCTGGGACCTCTGGAGTGGGCTCATCAGCAGGGTTCTGGGCAGCTGCCAGGGATCTTCCATGCTACTCGTTGCAGTCGCTCACAAGCCGCAAAAAGCTCCAGCAGCTTCACCTGGAGGGAGGGGTACTCAGCTGCTCTGCCTGTGCCTGAGCCCATCCCCACCCCCACCCCTGCAGAGATGTTCCACGCCCTACCTTCATCTCTTCCCTTGTCCTGGGCCAGCCTGCTGATGCACTCCTTCTCCTGGTGCTGCTCCTTCAGCACTGCCCTCTGGCTCTGGTACACTGCGATGTACTCTCCTACAGGAGGACAGGGCTCAGACGCTGGGGCCCCTCTGACCGATGTGCAGCTCTCCTTGCTGTGCCCTGGCTTCCCACTCCCCGATGATGTCTGTCTCTCCAGACAGCTAGATGAAGCGATGTTCCAGTTCCTCCACCATCTCCTTCAAGTCCACCTTCTCCTGCATGAGCTCCATAAAGCGGCTCTGGAGCCAAAATAATGGGGTCACATTAAGGCAGCGACCTGCCTGCCCCCAACCCTTTTTGGCCCATGCCTGGACTCACTCACCTACAGCCTCTCCATGGCCGCCTGCAGGGCCCAGTGGGTCTCCCCACACATGGAATTGCCCCCAGTTCCTGGGGCTGGGGCTGCCACCTCAGGTTCCTTCTGGGCCGAGGCCAGCAGATGAACCATGCGCTGGCAGTGCACTCCTTCAGCTGCCCACGTAGCCGTGCCTGCTCCTCCTGGGCACTAGCTACAGCTGAGTTGAAAAATGCCCCCTGCAGGCAAGAGGTACGCATTCTTATAGGGGGACACACAGGACAAACAGGGCAGGGAGGTGGAGAGCAGTCTTTGCCTTGGGGGGCCTCAGACGGCGCACCTGTTAGTCACAGGTGAAATGGTGTCTGACCACTGGCTCCCAGGGAAGGGGTGAGGGTCCAGAGAAATCAGAAGGCCAGGAACCCAAGAGCAGAAGGGGGTCTGGGAGGGACCACGGAGGGAGGCAGCAAAGGTGGGGCAGGGGGAGTCAGGCTCACCATGGCCTTCTGGCTCTCTAGGTCCTCCAGGATGCTCGGCATGGGCTGAGGCACCTCCACCTCCTCCTCACTGTCCAGTCCATCTCCTATTGGGGGTGGCCAGAGAGGTCCTCAGACAACCCAACAAGGGTAGAGTGGGCCCACCTCTGCCCCCACTCTCACTGTGTAACCCTGGGCCAGTCCCTCCCTAGCGGGGAATGAGCAGCTCTTTATTTTGAAATGGAGTCTCGTTCTGTTGTCCAGGCTGGAGTGCAGTGGCGCAATCTCCGTTCACTGCAACTTCCACCTCCTGGGTTCAAGCAATTCTCTGCCTCAGCCTCCCAAGTGGCTGGGATTACAGGCACCTGCCACCACACTCGGCTAATTTTTGTATTTTTAGTAGAGACGGGGTTTCACCATCTTGGCCAGGTTGGTCTTGATTTAACTCCTGACCTCGTGATCCACCCGCCTCAGCCTCCCAAAGTGCTGGGATTGCAGGCATGAGCCACCGTGCCCGGCCTCATTATTTTTTCAAGAGCCAAGATCTTGCCGTGTTGCCCAGGTGCAGTCCCACTACCAATAGGCACGGGAGTTCTGACCTGCTGCATTTCTGAGCTGGACCAGTTCACCATCCTTAGGCAACCTGGTGGTCCCCTGCTCCCAGGAGGTCACCATAGTGGTGCCTAACTTAGTGTGGACACCTGGTTGGCATAATGACCAGCTGTTCTAAAAGTCTGTTCAACTCCTCAATCCTATGCTGCTAACAGTTATCCCTTCCTCCTGGGGCTCTCTTTCTGTGAGCAGTCTCCGCTACCTTCCCCAGGTAGAGCCATGAGGCTCAACTGGGCCTGAGGCTGCTGATTCTGCTGGCTGAAAGCTTCCAGGCACTCCTAAGGGGCCAAGAAAGAGAGTGAGAAGGCACAGAGGTTGCCAGGTCATTCCCCTCAGGGCCCTGCCCTGAGCAACTCCCTCACCTGGGTCTCCCGCAACTCTTGGCAGGCCATCTTGACCACTGCTTTGCTTTGAGCTTCCTGCTGCTGCAGCTGGTCCACGAACTGGGTCTACAGCAGTAACTGGTTGTGCAGCCCCTCCTTCTCAGAGGTCAGCTGCTGATAGGTGGCCACATACTGCTGCAGGTGACTCAGGTACTGGTCTTGCTGCTGCTGCAGACCAAGCCTTCTGGCTCTTCAGCTCCATCTGCAGAAAGACCCTGGGTGTGAGGGCAGGTGGTGGCTGGCCCATAAATGGGGTAGCAAGGTCACTGTGTGGTTCTGTTGCTTTCCCAGGCCCCTGGCCCCTTGGTTCCAGGCCTAAGTGGCTGCCTCCCTTTCTCAGAGTCCCATGCCTCCTTCCCCAGCTGCAGGGATCTGTCCTGCAGACCCCAGCTGCATGGCGGATGAATAACATACTCACACTGATATTCAGTGACAGAGCAGCTAAGGGGCCAGGCCATGCACAGAAAGAGTTGTGACAACTGCAGGCCTTGACTAGCTGGCCCTGACAGCATTTATTCAGCACAGGCTTAATGACAAAGGCTTTGAGTCAACACACCTGTGGGTAATTAACTTTGCCGACCCGCCCCCAAGTAGAGCGCAATCATGCACCTGCGGATAATCAAAGGTTGGTCTTAGAACCACATGAGTAAACAAGGTATTCAGATAAACTCCCCCACATTCCCATGTTATCTGCTCTATTGTTATCAACTCAAGGTAAAGGGGATTAGGGGTAAAAAGGATTTCAGAAAAATCCTTTACTGAAGCTGTGCAGACCTTCTGGCCTTCCAGGAAGGTTTGTGTCTATATCCTATAACTTCATCTTACAATTTTTCCAACCACACTGACTGATCCCCTATAGCTCCCCCTTTTCTGTTTTTTGCATTCAGTCTTGTTAGCTGGAGAGTACATGTGTGTGCAACAACTGGTCTGTCAGCAATGGTGGTCATTGCTCTTATTCCGGCTTTGCATCCTAAAATTAGTAAATAACATAAGACAAACATGAATATAATTAGCAACATTCTTTTCCACTCAAGGAGTGATGCCCAGGAGCAGTGGTCTATCCAGGAGAGACGATCTTGCACACCCTTCCATATAGCTGTTTGTTGGGTGTGTAGATAGATCTACAGTATGAAGGGATTCTAAAATTGTATTTTTAAGTTGCCTTATGTCTGCTGTTAAATTGTCATGAAAGGTTCCCCAGAGGTGTTGTTTCACCTCATCCCAACTATGTATTGATTGATTCCACGGTAGAGAAGTGACACAGATATGTTTATGCTCCCAGTCACAGTTTAACTGCTGTTGGAATGCCAGTGCATCTTGTCGCTCCCCCACATATTCCAAGGGCAGCCTCAAGGGCTTGCAGATGTGCAAGAATCTTTTGATCTATACCTTGCTGTAAGAGAAGTACATTAGAAACATTTCTGGCCAAATTATCTACAAAAGCAGCTGTTTTTCCTGATTCAGTAATAGATGCTACAGCCACACTAGCAGTTACTAGGATGACTATGACTGAGACTATAAAGGCTACACATGTGCCTATGAATCTTTTGGGTCTGATCTGGGACAGGGCACGTTCTAAGGTGGCAAGGGCAGAGGAACCTTGCCAATCGCATGTCAAATTGACTGGTGGGAATGCCTCAGATTGTCTCCTTAATACCATGACTCTAGTAATATTTAAATTATATATTGTAATTAGTAATACATGAGGCAAACCAAGTCTGTCCCTGCACCTGGGTCACAAACGTGGAGTTTCGGGGTATAACAGAAATATTAGTTCCTATAAAGAAAACATATGGATGGGTAGTGCAAATCAGGCACTGATCAGTGTGATTATGAATAAAGGTTATAGTATAGTTGTGACTGGAATTATGGTATGTCCCATGCCAGGTGTCAAAGGAGGTGCTAAGATGTCCCAGGCACCACAGAGTGTCTTGGGGTGGCATGGATTTTACTTGGGGTCGGAAATATCCACCCCTACATCGGCCCAAATCATAGGGGAATGGGATGTGGCTACAAAACTGTGATTGATGCCATGATTGATGAGGATATCAGTAAGGCTTCCCTGCAAATGGCTGTGGGACCTCCAGTCTAAGATGTTACAGTTGCCTAACTGGAGGGTATAGGCTTGTTCCCCATGACAGACCTCCCAGCTAAAGTGGAATCCATTACTTTCCCAGCTTTGTTCTTTAGCACAGGAAGGAATGTTTGGGAAAGTGGCATTGATTGCATCGCCCGGTTTGAGGCTACCTGCAGCTAGGAATGTTAAGACATTTCCTTTGTCATGATGTAGCCATAAGTGTGTTTGGGCAGGTACGCAGTAAGGGTTAGACCCTTTATAACATACACACAGTGGGAGGATAGTGGGATGATATGTAGTGATACCTGGCACCTTAGTCTAATGTGTGCCATTAATGATGGACCCCACTGGGGGTAAATCTATCCCTCCTAGCCAAGCAGTTACGTTATTAAAGGCTGAGAAGGAGGTGTCTGCCCAGGTGACAGGGTGAAAGAAAGGTGGATCTAAGATATGAGCCCAATAGAGTGTAGCAGGTATAGGTTGCAGACAAAGCAAGAGCATATGAAGGATCAATACCCTATATGAGTTGCAACGTCCAACAGAGAGCACAGCAAGGAACAGATTATCTGGAGTGAATGGTGTCTGTGTCCAGAGCAGGATTCATTCCGCCTCCTGAGTTGCCTTCTTCAGCATCCCCCAGGTAATGTCCAGGGCTTGTGTCGTCCGAGGAAGCCGCATCATCCAGGGCAGCGAGTCCTCTAGGGTCACTTCCTTCATTTCTGGTACCAGGTTGGGTCCTAGCCACGTAATGGTATGGTTTGATGCATTGTGCTGGAATCCAAAGAGGACCTGAGGGGGTGTGAACACAAGCATACCCTCTTCCCCAAGTTAACAATTCACTTGGATTACACCATACATTACTGTTTACATCTTTCCATAAAACTGCAGTTTTATGTCTTGAGAGGTTTTAGCAAAGTGCTTTTCTACAGTGGATTGAAATTTATCATCTAAATTTAAAAAATTAAGGGTAAATAAGGCTTGTGCCAATAGCGTTGCAAGGTCCTTATCCATACTCCCCTGTTTTGTTTTTTGAGCATATTTTTAAGGGTGGAGTGGGCACGTTCTATTATGGCCTGTCCGTGGGGATTATATGGGATGCCTGTGGAATGTTGGATGTTCCACGTGTGACAAAATTGTTGAAATTGTGAGCTGGCGCAAGCTAGACCATTATTAGTTTTAATTTTTATGGGTTGCCCCATAAATGCAAAAGTTAAAAGAAGATGTTTAATGACATATCGAGTAGACTCTCCAGGAAGGGCGTGTACACTAATTAAATGAGAATTGGTATCAATGGAGACATGTACATATCTAAGTTTTCCAAATTCAGGGATGTGTGTAACATCTGTTTCCCATAACTGATAAAGTGCCAATCCTCTAGGGTTAACACTTGTTGAAGGAGGGGACATGCCTGTGAGCTGGCAATCTCAGCATTGCAGGATAATTTATTTAGCCAGCCTCTGGGTAAATTGAAATTGTTTAGACAAGTTTCTCTAGTTTTGCCGGAAAAATTGATGTGATTGGGTGGCTTGGTCAAGCAGTGATGTTACAACCTGAAGGTATGCTTGATCATTGCCATAAATCAATGGGCCAGGCAGTGAGCTGTGGCCCTGAATGCGTGTAATAAAAATAGGATGTGTACACTGATCTAGCAATTGCTGAAGTCAAAGAGCACACAGGGTGGACTCCAGAGTGGACTTAATTAGGGCTGTCTCAAGGTTCTGCAGTAAAAAAACAGAGTAAGCAGAGTCATTAACAATATTGAGGGGCTGAGTGGAAAAAGTTTCCAAAGCCAATATTAAGACCCCAAACTCAGCTCTCTGAGTGCTAGTAAATCCAGATCGAGTGATGGAATTATGTGGTCTCTACCAGACTGCTGCTTTTCCATGTTTACTAGAACCATCAGTAAACAGTGTTAAAGCATTTATGGGGAAGTGAACTCTTTTTGTAGGGAAAATCATAGGAGTATGATAAACTGAAGGAGTTAGCAGGAATGACATGCTCTATTTGACCTGTGTAATCAGAGAGTGCTATTTGGAAGTCCATCGATAAGGGCAATACTGCTTTGAATTGCTTTTTATTTAAAGAAATCCTGATGATATCAGGATCACAACCTAGCAAGTGACTGCATCATCTGCAGCCTGAATATATGACTTTACTGATTAACTGGATATAGGGAGATAGTGTTTTAGTCTCGGTATGTGAGCAAAAAAACCCACGCTAAAAAACATAGCTCTGGAGCCATTTGTCCTATTAACCCTGTAGGGGAGTGTTTACTGGGAAAAATAAACAATTGAACAGAATATTTTGGATCTATGAGATTTACTTGTCTTTGAGAAATAGCCTGTTCTATTTCTTCCATCTTTTTTTTTTTTTTTTGCTGCTGAGATTAAATATCTGAGAGAATCCAGGACTGTGTTGCCCTTTAAGATAGAAAACATGTTTTGCAGCTTATAAGTAGGAATGCCCAAGGTGGGGTGAAGCCAATTAAAATTGCCTAGTAATTTCTGATAATCATTTAAGGTGTGTAAGTTGCTAGTATTTAATCTTTTGAGGTTTTACTGACCAGGAAGTAAGTATGTACCCAAGATATTTCCAAGGAGAGGACATTTGTGCTTTTTCAGGTGCAATGATTAAACCACTCAGCTGTGCATTCTTTATGACAGAGGTATACAAACTTAAAAGCATTGGCTCCGTTGGGGCTGCTAGTAGAATATCATCCATAAAATGAATAACCTTGCAATCAGGAAATTCTTTTCTGCTGGGGAACAAAGCTTGATTTACATGATACTGACACATGGCAGCACTGTTTAGCATTCCTTGAGGAAGCACTTTCCAATGAAATCGGGAAAGCTGGCCTTTCATTATTGATAGCTGGTATTGTAAACACAAATTTTTCTCTGTCTTGCTTTTCCAGGGAAACAGTGTAAAAGCAACAGTGGCCATTATTAGAAAGAGGTGTTTTAAATTCTTAAATTGTACTTAAATCTTAGCAGAGAATTATAATCCGGGATGTCACTTGTATACAAGGAACACGTGAAATTTTGCCGTGGGCCACCTGCGGAGCTGGGCGTCTAGCAGGTGGGTCCCAGGGCGGCGGCCATGTTGCACTTGCACTGCCTTTTGTCTGTGCTGCTCCCTCAACCTGCTGCCGCTGGGCAGCTGCTGCCAGCCGAGTGGACCTTCGTGCACGCCTCCTGCCTCTCCCTAGCAGGCCAGCTCTGGTGTGCTGGGCCTGGCTCCTTGTCACTGCTACGTCTGTGCAGGCCGAGTTCCTGGAAGCACTCGCTGGCTCCAGGTGTACGAGCTTCCTTTGCTGCCAAGCATTTCCTTCTGCCTACCACCAGCTTGGCCACACGGCTTCAACCTCTAATGCTTTTTCTTAACTTTTTATAAACGTTAAAAGAAATAGGTTTATATACCCAATTGCCTTGTCAACCTTGCATTACCAGGCAGGCTAAGAGCTCCCCTTTTAATGCCTCTTGCCTAAGAAAGGGTCCCATAGCTGTAGCGTAGCTCTTGTCTTTTTTCCTATTTATTGCAGGAGGGGGCTCAGGCAAAACCTCCATTTCCTCTTTGTTATTTTGGTCTGCTGATATCAGGGCTGAGCGAAAAGGAGGTGGTAAGGCAGGTGACGGTTCCTCCTCCTTCCCCTTTTTAGATTCTTCTGTGTATAACAGAGCCAGGGTCACCCTAAGGCCCATAGCATTAAAGATAATACTGGGACCTGTTGCCCTTGCGCATGATGTTGATTAAGATCTCTCCCCACTTGTTCCCAGAGCTCTACGTCTAGCGTTCCTTTTTCTGGGAACCATGAGTTTTGTGAGACAACAGTTTGCATTAGGTCCCTTAATTGAGCCTGTGAAACCAAGGCTCCACTAGCATTAAGCAGCTGTTTCAATACTTTTATATACTGTTTCTGTTAAGCTGATAACTGTTGTCCCATGATGAAACCCTAGCCTGAACAATTCCCCCAAACTTGGAAATTCCGAGTGGGCATCAATGACTTACTAACTTACTGTTTGCACAGTTCTTTTCATCTTCGTTGAGGGGTCCGTTGTGATCCTTCACAGTGTGCCTCCCGCAGGGCACCACTTGCAAGGGTCTATCCTGCAGACCCCAGCTGCATGGCGGATGAATAACATACTCAGACACCGATATTCAGTGACAGAGCAGCTAAGGGGCCAGGCCACACACAAAAAGAGTTGTGTGCCTTGACTAGCTGGCCCTGAGGGCATTTATTCAGCACAGACTTAATGACAAAGGCTTTGAGTCAACACACCGGTGAGTAATTAACTTTGCCGACCACCGAGTAGAGAGCAATCATGCACTCGCGGATAATCAAAGGTTGGTCTTAGGACCACATGAGTAAACAAGCTATTCAGATAAACTACGCCACATTCCCATGTTATTTGCTCTACTGCTATCAACTCAAGGTAAAGGGGATTAGGCTGCTTTCAGCCAAATCCTTTACTGAAGCTGTGCAGACCTTCTGGCCTTCCAAGAAGGTTTGTGTCTATATCCTATAACTTCATCTTACAATTTTTCCAACCACACTGACTGATCCCCTACACCCAGACTTAAATCTCACACCCTTCCTCCCACCATTTAAACTAGGCCACAGACTGATGGAAAAGCAGAGGGAGCCAACCTCCATCTGCTAACTGTGCCACATGCCTAATGCTTTCCACGTATTATCTCATTTAATCCTCAGCACCTCTGCGAGGAAGGTGCTAACTTCCCTTTTAAGGTAAAGAAACTGAGACTTAGAGATGCAAAGTAGTTGAATGGTGATGAGGGGAGCCAAGGCCAGAATCCAGTTTGACTCTGAGGAGCCTCTTATACCACCGTCTCTTTCCCTATGTTTGGGGGGCTCCATGACTCTAGCCGGGATGATGATGTTCAGACCTGGGAGGAGCCCACCACTAAAAGTCAGAGGGCAGGAAGCAAGAAACAGTCACAGGACTGCCCTGGAGGGTGCTGGGGTCACCTGTCCCCCAGGCTGGAGCTGCCTCTGGCCTCACACCTCCCCTCCCCAGAGGCTGGTGCCCGCCTTCCAGCTCTTCTTGGATGGGGCAGTGTTACCGTCTCCTTTAGCTTGCCCAGCTTCTTTCCCAGCTCCCTCTTTACGTGCTATTCCAACTGCATTGCACTGGTGATCTCCATGTTCTCGTTAGTCTGGACAGAGAGAAGCAATCGGCAGCCATCCACTGCAGCTGGAGACCCTAGAACTTGGTGTCTGCCTCCCATGGCACCAGGAAGGGTGGAGGCAGGTTAGAAAAATCATTCCCTCTTCCCCACAGCCATCAGAGCAGGGCTCTGGTTCACAGGTACCTTCAGAAGTACCATCTCACATTAGGGGTACACTGCCTCATTTTATGGGCAGGAAAACAAAGGTCGGGAGGGCTAGGGAGGAGGGCAGGCTCTCCTGATGGGGTCACGCACCAGCTTTATGAATCCATTCTGCAGCTCAGACAGCTGCTCCTTGAGCTCGTGGTTCTGGGTGAGCACGCGGCTGATGGTGGTGCAGTCATTCTGCATGGTCTCCAAGATTTGTCTGTGCGACTCTGCCTGCTCCCCCAAGAGCTTGGCCACCTGCTGCAGCTCCAGCAGCCTCTCCTCCCACTCCTGGTTCGGGTGACTGAAGCCCTCAGTGTCTTGCTCCTGGGCTTGGAGCTGCCAGGCTCTCCAGTTCCTTCTGCAGGTGGCCAGCCTCTGCTTGTAGCTGCTGCTCCAACCTGGAGGGCCCTGCTTGGAGTTCCAGGGGCACGGCCCAGGTAAGAAAGGAAGCGACAGTAAGGGCCTCTGGATTCTCAAAAAAAAAAACCCTCCTCTTGGTCCACAGCTCCTCTCAGGCTCCCCAAACTTGGCCTCCCTGCTAATGATTCCTTGCACCCAGATATTAGCCAGTCTTCCCGCCACTTTCTGATAGAGACAACTGTGGATGGCTGACAATGGGCACACTTCCCTCTTTGCTGATGGGAACACTGAGGCTCATGGAGATTACGAGACTTGCCAACTCCTGGCACAGACCTCTTTCCTTCTGCCCCAAAGCCCTCTATCCACCCACCTCCCTGGGGCATTCTAAGCCATCCCCACAGCGCTCTGATACCAGTCCTGCTCCCAGGTCACCACAGTCCCAGCTTACCCATTTGGTTACTCAGTTCAGCCAAGCTCATTTCCAGTTCTTATACCCAACTCATGCTATGCTCCTTCTCCTCTCTCAATGTGCGCACCTGCCCAAAATACAGCAGGAAAGGGCCCTGAAGAGAGGGGCTGGTGGCTGGATGGGCTACCATCTCCATCTCTGACCCTGCCTCCACATAGCCTAGACCCATGATCACCTCTGGCTATAGTCTTCCCATTTTACAGATGCCTAGAAAGATCAAGTGATCTATATAAGGTGGGGGGCTGAAGGGTCAGGTCTCACCTGCTCTGACATCTACTGCATCCTCTGCTGCCACATGGCACTCCCTCCTTTCAGATTTTCAGCATACGTCTCTCTCTCCGTTTGTAGTTGTCCAACTGACTCCATTACCTTCAAGAATGGGGACAGAAGTTACGAAGGGCTGTCACTGGTCCTCACCTGCTCCTGGCCACCTGGGGTCATCTTCCTTCCATATCCCTCCCCTGCAAAGCCTCACCTGCCCCAGGTGTGCTTCCAGCTATGCCCGCTCCTCCATGGCCTGCAGTAACTGCTGTTTAGTATCAGGGCCTTCACAGTGCCTTGAAAACCAGATAGTGAAGAGTGAGAAGTTTAGATTCCGGGAGCCTGGGCCGTTCCAACAGTGCCCCTTAAAAGGGCTAGGGCTAGGCTCAGTGTACAACTCAGTCAATACAACTCTGCTGTCAAGTTTCTTTGTTTTAGAAATAAAAAATTAAATAATTTTAAAAAGATCTCAGGCTGGGCATGGTGGCTCATGTCTGAATCCCAACACTTTGGGAGACTGAGGGAGGCGGATCACTTGAGCTCAGGAGTTCAAAACCAGCCTGGGCAACATGGCAAAGCCCCATCTCTACAAATACAAAAATTAGCCAGGTGTGGTGGTGTGCACCTATAGTCCCAGCTACTTGAGAAGCTGAGGCAGGAGGATCGCTTGAGCCTGGGAGGTAGAGGCTGCAGTGAGCCAAGATCACACCACTGCACTCCAGCCTGGGTGATAGAGAGAGACCCCATCTCAAACAAACAAACAAACAAACAAACAAAAAACAAAAAACAAAAAACCTCTACTCTCTATTATTACCCATGGAATAGTGGAAGTGTTGGCGTGAACCTCAGATGGAAATAAACAGACTCATTAGCTAGCCATATAAATGTAATTTATCAAATAATGGTTTTCATCTATGATGTGTTAAAAAAAATTTTTTTAAGCCCTAACCCTGAGATTCTGATTCCCCAGGTCTATGGTAGGGCCCCAATTTGTAGATTTTTTAGCACTCTCTAGAGGATTCTATGGCAGCATCAGAACAAGGACCGAAATTTTCCAACTCTTGGCATGATCCCTAGACCATGGCCCCAGCTGGATGGGGCTCCAACCACCTCCGCGGCTGCAGTCCTTAGCTTGTTGAAGCAGTTCAGTCATTTGTAATTTCTTTTGCAGCTCTTCTAAGTTAAGCAGTATGCCAGCCTTCTCAGTCACTAGGACTCAAAGCTTCTCTTCTAATTCTGATTTCTCCTGCTTCAGTCCTCATTGATTCGGTTATGGCCAGAGGCAGTAGAGAAAGGAATGAACTAAGAACAGAAAGGACTGCTTTGGTGATCAACCCTCCACCCTTGCCTCACAACCACAGAACCGTAGCACTGGAAGGAACCCCAGGAATCCAAAGTTACAGATGGCAGGCCTGAGAGAAGGTGTGAGTTGTTCGAGGCTACACCATGAGTCACCAGCACTACAGCTTAACTGTGCACATGTACAAACCTGTATGACCACCTCACCATGCTTACCTGTACCCCCTCAACCTCCCAGCACATCACCCATGCTAAGGGCCCCCAGACCTCCCATCCCACCTTCCCCCATGCTACCTGTTCTTGTGTAACTCCAGCCTGAGGGTGTTTCTCTCTTTGGTTAACTCCTTGTTGTACTGAAAATACAGGCCAAGGTTAAGTCAGGATATAGCAGGCAGAGGAGCAGCTGGCCGACCAGTACCAACAGCTCAGTAACTATTCCACAGTAACACTTCCTCACTCTGAATCACACCTGACATTTTTTCAAGGCATTTCTAAGTCCATGATCTCATTTGCTTTTTGTTTGTCTGTTTGTTTGTTTGTTTTTTGTTTTGTTTTTGAGACGGAGTCTAGCTCTGTTGCCTAGGCTGAAATGCAGTGGCATTATCTCGGCTCACTGCAACCTCGGCTTCCCAGGTTCAAGCAATTCTCCTGCCTCAGCCTCCTGAGTAGCTGGAATTTACAGGTGCCGACCACCACACCCAGCTAATTTTTGTATTTTTAGTAGAGACAGGGTTTCACTGTGCTGGCCAGACTGGTCTCAAACTCCTGACCTCATGATCCGCCAGCCTAGGCCTCCCAAAGTGCTGGGATTACAAGCATGAGTCTGAGCGCCTGGTCAGTCTCATTTGTTTTTAAAAGAACTTAGTAAGGGTGAAGGGACAGGGAAAGAGATTGAATTTATAGCTGGCTAACAGAGGCCCAGAGGGATAAAACAATATTGTTATTATTTTACCGTTATTACTACCACTGTTTGAACCCTTATTGAGTGCTTCACTAGCCACCATGCTAACAATCCCATTTAATCCTCACAACCACCATATGAGACAACTACTATTATTACCTCTATTGTGTCGATAAAAAACATGGGGTATTAGAGATTAAGTGCTTGCCTAAGATCACTCAGAGCTGGGATTTGAACCCTCAGGTGTATCTGATTCTCTAAGCCCATTTGTTCACTGGGGGTGGGGGCACAGATAGGAAGGGGGAAATCAATCTCTTGTTCACTTTTTGAAAGGATGATCCATTCACATAGTCCAAAGCTCAGAAGGTACAGAAGGGAAATATCTCCCAGCCACCCTGTTCCTCTCTCCTGAGTTTTTTGTGTTTTATTTTATTTATTTATTATTTTACTTTAAGTTCTGGGACACATGTGCTGAATGTGCAGGTTTGTTACATAGGTATACGTGTGCCATGGTGGTTTGCTGCACCTATCAACCCGTCATCTAGATTTTATGCCCCACATGCATTAGGTGTTTGTCCTAATGCTCTCCTTCCCCTTTCCCCCTAACCCCTTCCTGAGTTGATGAATCCTTGTAGACACATTTTATGTATATGATCATAGTATGTATGTAGAGACACACACACACACACACACATTCCCTCTCTCTACACAAATGGTAACATACTGAAGATACTCTTCTGTACCTTCACAGTACAAGTACCATATCCCCCACCTAGCACTTGGCAAAGGCCAAAGCCAGTTAAGGGTAGGGCGAGGACTTGGCCTCCGAACTCTGCATCCAGTGCTCGCTCTCCATAGGACCCCTAACTCACCCACAGCAGCTGACTCAGCCCCAGGCTACCTCTAACAACCACACACACAAGCAGTGAGAAATAGTCCATGCTGCTTTCTGGGCAGGACATTCCATCCTGCAGAAGGGACCTTTAGGCTCACTCCGCCATCTGGGAAGCCAGGCTGCCAGGGGATGGGGCAGGTGGTTGGACTCACCCTGTCTGCTTTCTTCTGCTGTATGGAGACAGCAAAGAGCCTGCTCCAACTCTCCCACACACTGCCAGGAATACTACAGGCAGCTGGCCAGATCTTTGGACTCTCCTGGAATGAGAGAGGTTCAGATGGGGCCCAAAGGACTCCCCCAATGGCCTGTCAAAGTGCCAAGTTGAAGGATGATGGGGTGCCCAGATTCCCACTTTCTTTCTGCCTGGCAGCATGCTGAGTGTGAGCCAGGGCTGTCTGTAACTCGGCTTTCTCTGATACAAGGATTTCTACATTCTGAATGTGAACCTTTGGTAGAAAAGCCAAAAGCTGAAAGAGAAGGAAAGAAACATTCTCCAGAGGACAGGAGGGAACTTCACACTCTCTACTCACCTGTAACTGCTCCCTTAGAGCTCCCTGCTTTTGGTGGCACTCTTTCTCTTCCTATAGGAAAAGGAATACAGAGCTCTTACTAGGGGGAAGCAGAGATGGTACAGCAAGGGACATGCCCCCAGAATGGCACCAATGCCCCAGGACAGTTCCACCCATGGGACCAAGTTATCAGGGACCTTTTGGGGATGGGGTGGAATCTGGGGGGTGAGCCTTCCCCAGGCTGGGAGTGGGTGAGACGAGACTGAAGCCTCTACATCTGAGTGCCCCCCAAATCCAGCAGTCATGTTGTGAGCAAACAGTTACTTCTTCCAACTGATCCACCATTTCTTGGTTCTGTTGTTTCTGTGGAGACAGTTAAAGGATGGTGACTAAGGATGGCCCCCTCGACTCTATTCCCCAGACCAGGAAGGGGTAGGCAGCAGCCAGGAATAGATTTTAAAGGCAAAGTTCTCAGACTTAATGGAAACATGAACTGGTAAACTCTCCTCAAGCTCCCAAGGAAAGAGGATTTGGATCTTTGTTGGTTTTGGCCCACAGTCATAGAACTGAAAGTCTGAATCCGAATTCTCTCAAAGGGATAGTAACATAAACCTCTAGAGATGAAGTTTGAGAAAAGCTCCCCGTTCTGCCAGCTTGTGATGTAGAAAGGTATATTCATTCAACAAACATTTACTGAGCACATATGGGCCAGGTATGGTTCTTTTTTTTTTTTTTTTTGAGACGGAGTCTCGCTCTGTCGCCCAGGCTGGAGTGTACTGGCCGGGTCTCAGCTCACTGCAAGCTCCGCCTCCCGGGTTTACGCCATTCTCCTGCCTCAGCCTCCTGAGTAGCTGGGACTACAGGCGCCTGCCACCTTGCCCGGCTAGTTTTTTGTATTTTTTTTTTTTTAGTAGAAATGGGGTTTCACCATGTTAGCCAGGATGGTCTTGATCTCCTGACCTCGTGATCCGCCCGTCTCGGCCTCCCAAAGTGCTGGGATTACAGGCTTGAGCCACTGCACCTGGCCTCAGGTATGGTTCTTAATACAGGGATATAAGCCAGAAAAAGACAAACAGGAGTAATAGCAGAGATATAACGCAGAAAAAGACAAACAGGAGCCCTTGGCCCTGAGGTTTTCATTCTAGTGGGCCTTTTTTTTTTGCGGGGGGATGGAGTCTTGCTCTGTTGCCCAGCCTTGAATGCAGTGGCACCATCTCGACTCACTGCAACCTCTGCCTCCCAAGTTCAAGCGATTCTCCTGCCTCAGCTTCTTGAGTTGAATAGCTGGGACTACAGGTGTGTGC